TCCAGCTGGGCTCGCTGCTGGGCTGCCCTCCGGCCCCGGGCCCGCCAGCGCCGAAACCAGGTCCTGAGACAGCCTACGACAGGTCCGAGTCAGTGTGCTCTTATATGAACGACTATATCATGGGCAAAGCAGAGCGTGGAGAATGGAGGAGGCCCTGGGGGGCAGCGTTGGGGTGTCAGCCACACGGGGTGAGATCACCACAGATGGACACGCCTCTGAGGACAGCTCCGGGCACCCCAACAGCCGTGAGCACCGGGACCGGAGCCAGGCCTGCTCTCTGCTGGTGCGCCTGTCCCGTGGGCCCATGAGCCTCAGAGACCACAGGTGTGTCAGGGCCCACAGGGCTGCACGAGCGCCTATGGCCCGGAAGGCCCTGGGCCCCACAGACGGCCTGCTCTGTGGGAGGAAACCGAGGCGCAGAGACTGGCGAGCAGCCGAGCCAGGCAGGGCCGTGGCCTGCATTCTTTCTATGTCACCAAGTCTCACTTTCTCCTGCTGATTATTTTACTTTGGATTTTTCCTTTTCTCAGGCCCCGAGAAAAGTGTCTTTCAGAGACAACAGAAGAGGGTTGATACCAGGGCACTGATGCCAAGATAGGGTGCCCTCCAGCACCCACAGGCGGGGCAGGGAAGGCTGCGCTCACGGGCCTGGAGGCCAAACATTAGTACTAATGCCAACACTGCCTGGCCCTCATGGCACCCCGAGACGCAGGGAGCATTGTCCCCACTTTACAGATGGAGAAATGGGGGCTCCGAGGACGGGCCCAGGTTGCACAGCCAGCATCTGCAGTGCTGTTACCTCAGCAACAGGAAACCCACACATGAGGAGACAAGACTGCAGGGCAACAAGCGTCCTGGGTCCTTCACACCCTTCCCTCAGCTCCAGGGCCCGCTTACCCCTCGCCAGCACCCGCTGAGCCTCCCGGAGGGCACAGTCCGCCCGCTGCCGGCGGTAGATCTGCACCGCCGCAGCCTCCCGCCACCGGGTCAAGACCTGCGGGCAGACGAAGCGCAGAGGGGCGGTCACAGCGTGTCCGATTCCTGGGGACACTGTGCTCTGCTGGCAGCTCCTCAGGGAGGAAGCCAAGCGGCAGACATACGGCGCTGCCACACGTTCCCGGAGGCACATGCCACCCACAGGCAGGCAACAGGGGAGCCCAGACCTCGGGGGCGGCCTTCCCTACCGAGAGTTAACCGTCACCCCGCGCCATGAGGACGCGAACGGGCTTCCATTCTGATATGGAGACTGTACGTCACGTGTACACTTCCTATGAGACCTACGAAGTCACAGTAGTAGGTCACTTTGAAAAGAAGTCGAACATCCAGGGGACACCTGGTGCCTGCTCCCCAAACAATCACAAACTCCACTCACCCCAAAAAGGCCATAAAGCCAAGCAGAGTCCTGACCCTCCCTCCAGGGCAGGGGACCCGCATGCCAGCCTCCGTGCTTTCCTGAGAACAGCCTGGGCCGGACCGCACATCGCTCTCCACCGCGCACGTGTCAGAGTTGTCAGGAGCTCCCCCTACCAGGCCTGCCAGCTGGGCTCCCACAACTGCTTCCTTCTAAAGCGTCCCTGCGCCCAGGGCCACCTGTCACTTGAGTCCCTTCTGTCTTGCAACAGGTCATCTTCCCACAGCCACACCCTCCCCCCCCAGCATGTGAAACCAGGCCCCACCGATGACGACCAACAGCCTCACATTCCTGGGATGCTCTAGGCCAGTGGTTCTCAACCTGCCTAAGGCCACGACCCTTTAATACAGTTCCTCATGTTGTGGTGACCCCCAATTTCATTATTACAAATTGAACATAATTAAGGCATAGTGATTAATCACAAAAACAATATGTAATTATATATGTGTTTTCCGATGGTCTCCCTGTGAAAGGGTCGTTCAACCCCAAAGGAGTCGCGACCCACAGGTTGAGAACCGCTGCTCTAGGTTTTCCCGTAAGTGCCCCAGCCACACCACCTGTGAGGCTGAGGAGCAGGAGCGAGTGTCCTCTTCGCTCAGATGGCACCGTGACTGCCGGTCTGTCCCGTGGGAAATCCCACACGTGTGGAAAGTACTAGTTGTGACACAAGCAGCTCGCTCACTAGGTGCTATTCTGTTTTAATGAACACTGGCTCATAATTCAATAAACAGAAAGCCCGCCTGCTCACACGGCGAGGACGTTACCCCGTTTTCTAGTTCCTTGTTCAGTGCGAATCCCTGGCACCACCTCCCACGCCACCGACTTGCAGAGCCCTCACCTTGAGGCACAGGCCCCTTCGGTAGTGAGCCCTCGCTCGAGAGGTTTTCCTTGCTTCCTCCACGCAGGCCGCTGCATTCTCCCTCCAGCGACGTAACACACACCTGCAGGCCCACAGGCCAGGACGGGGGCGGGGGACACCAGTGTGGAGAGATGGGGTGAGGTTCCTGGGAATCACTGCTGGTTCTGCAGCCCCCTCCCACCCCCAATCAAGGACGCCCTCTGCCCAGAACATTTCCCCACGGGCGTGTTTATGTTGACTGGGACGCGCGCCCCAAGGCTGCTGAGTCCTACCCTGTGCCGGGATGGGGCAGCCCTGGGGACCATGCGGTGGACAAGACCAAAGGTCACATCCTCGCACATGTGTGCGCTCCAGGGAACACAGCGTTGTAACAGGTGATGACAGGACAGGAGAGTCATGCTGTGACCCAGGAGTCAGTGCAGGGCTCCCTCTCCCCATGCCACGCTGTCTGGAGAGCTGAATCGACATACAGGGCCCGGAAGGAGGGACAGTGATGTTTAAAGTCCCCAGGCCCCTCACACACAGGTGGCCTGACACAGTGTGCAGTGAGCAGACACAGGAGGAAACGGAAGGGCGGACGGAGGGAGGCCTGCGGTAGGAGTGAGTTCAGAGCGTGGCTTAGCAGGACTGGAGGACGGGCTGGGGGACTGGCGCCGAGCGGTGCAGGTGACCAAAGGCGTCCCAGACACAGAGGGTGCTGGCAGTGAGAGGTGCCACGGGGAGTCAGGGAAAGGTCTGGAGAGCCAAGCAGGGAGGCCACTGACTGGGAGCTGAGAGGCCACGGGAGCCATCGCAGCCTCTGGAGCAGGAGGTGCTACACCGGTGCCTCCTTCAGGCCTGAGGTGGGAGGGGGAGCGCTCAGAGCAGGGCACGCGGGGCGCTCAGACACGCAGGTGAGCTGCCTCCCAGGGGCCCGGCCCTGCATGTAGCAGGGGTTCTGGGCACAAGGGGGGAACCGGTGAATGGAGCGCTGGCTGTGGAAAAGCCAGAGCTATGCTGTGAGCTGCACGCGGCAGCCAGGCCCACCTTGTGCCTGCCCCGGACAAAACTCTCCAACCTGCCTGGTCAGGAGCCCGGCCCCACGCTCGGGCGGCAGGGGACGCCGGGAGACTCACCGCAGCAGCTGCCTCTGGTGCTGGCTCTCCCTGGCCGCCACCTCTTGAAGGACACTCCGCACGCGGCTCTGGTAAGCCTGCAGGAGACCAGGACTGGAGGCCACCCTGGGCCACAGCTCTCTCCATTCCCAGGCCGCAGGGGTTCTCCATGCCCAGAGCTCACACCCACCAGAGGGGCGGAGAGACCCCAAGGCCCCCGGCTGGGAGACCTCACCCACAGTCAGACCCCTGGGCTCCTGGGCACAGGCCACTCTGAACAGAAGGCTGGAGCCTAGACAGCCCCGTGTTTCCTTTTCTGGTTTGTGTTTGCTGAGCGAGGAGGGAAGGACTGAGCCCTGTGCTGTAAGACCCCGTCCAGGACACTCACTCTGGTGGAATGACTGCTCTGAGGGGCGGGAAGAACAGGAAGGGAAACCGCCTTCAGGGTCCCCCTCTCCCAAGGCAAGGGGGCGAGGAGGAAGCAGCAGCGCCTACCCTCCAAGTGTGCAGTGCCCGGTGCAGCAGGGTGTGCTGGTGGTGCAGGTCTGCGCGCATCAGCTTCTGCCGCTCGGTGCCCCGCAGGGTCAGGCACTGCAGATAGAGGCCCGGCCAGAGGGGAGGGCCGAGGAGGACAGGCTCAGCTTTGCCTCCAGGTACACGCAGCTAGGGTGAGCTGGGGGAGGGCAGGACACCTGGGAGCCCCGGCTCCCTTATCTATAAATAGGTACCGTTAGGGGTTTTGCGGGGATCAATGGGGCCAGGGCCTGACTTGGGGTGAATATTTCTGCCCAGAGCAGGGTACCTATCATGGTTAGACCAGGAATTTCAGGCTCAGGGAGTTCAGGTAGGAACAGCCCAGCGCGTAAGAGAACAAGGAATTCTGAGTCTATCATCTTGGGAGGCCAGGTTCACGTTTTCATCTGCTGCCCGGCCCCACCCCACGCTCAGGGGCTTGCGGTCTGAGGGACGGGGGATGAGCCCGTCCTGCGGCTGAGTCACTGACGCCCAGCTCCACCTGTCCCCAGCCACACGGGGGTGGCGCCTGTGCCAAAGCTTACCTGCCTCCACCTGTGCCAGGCCCCGCGCAGGAGCCGCGCTGAGAGGAACGCTGCCGCCAGCACCCCGCCCGTCTTCCTGTGGGGAGAGAGTGGGCACTCAGTGCTGCAGCCCAGACTGGCCAGGACCCAGCCGAGGGTGCCCCTCACACTCCCTGGCTCCTGCCTAGTGGTTCTTAAATGTGGGGAGTCAAGCTCCACTCTGAAGAACGGCCAAAGGATTTGGGCTCTTCACCCAGGAGCGTGCACGTGTGATCACGTCTTTGCAGATGACCTCGCGGGGCTCCAAGTACCACGGAGGCCTAGTCACGTGCAGGAGGCGCCATGTGGCCGAGCTGAGTGGGGGAGAGCCTCACAGCCCCAAGGGGATCCAGAAAGGCCTGAAGCAGGACAGTGCCTGCAGTGCACCCGCGGGCTCTGTCCCCACTAACCACTTGATAGGCAAAACCTGCTGCCCGTGGCCCTGGCTACAGCTCTGCTCCGTGCCGGGGAGGGTCCATGACCCCCAAGGAAGCCCGTCAGTCTGTCCCTTGGCCACGGTCACTTCACATGGGCCCCAGTCAGCAAGCAGGGTGCGCCCACGCACAGGACCCAGAGGCACAGGCACGTGAGGGTCCTCTCACCACAGCCCTGGTTGTGCTCAGACTGTTTCAGGTTGAATTTTCGGAACTTAAAACCAGAGTCTGGGCCAGTGATGGCGAACCTTCTGAGCTCGGCGTGTCCGCATTTTGAAAAACCCTAACTTAACTCTGGTGCCGTGTCACATATAGAAATTTTTTGATATTTGCAACCATAGTAAAACAAAGATTTATATTTTTGATATTTGTTTTATATATTTAAATGCCATTTAACAAAGAAAAATCAACCAAAAAAATGAGTTCGCGTGTCATCTCTGACATGCGTGTCATAGGTTCACCATCACTGGTCTAGGCTAACGTGACCCTCTGGCTGGGCACTCAGATCTGACAAGTGCTGCTACTACAATCAAAGCTGGTCTGAGCCTGGACGGTGTGGCTCAGTGGTTGAGCATCGACCCAGGAACAAAGAGGTCACAGGTTCAAGTCCAGGTCAGGGCACATGCCTGGGTTGTGGGTCCCCAGGAGAGAGTGCGCGGGAGGCAGCCAATCAAAGATTCTCTCTCATCATTGATGTTTCTACCTCTCTTTCCTCTCTCTCCAAAAATCAATAAAAACATTAAAAAAAAAAAAAAAAAGCTGGTCTGAGATGGGAAAAGCCAAAGGCAGAAAAGCGACCACTCACTCTGATCTGAGCCCTTGGGCGCTCTCCCTCCAAGTGGAGAAAGCCGTCCTGAGACTCGCCTGGCGGTGGTGGGCACGGGCCACTGCTTGCCACTGCTGCTCCTGGCGATGTGCTGCCGCCCGCCGGTGCCATGTGGACCAGCACCTGCACAGGAGCTGCCGCTCCGCGTGAAGGATGGCCTGCCGCACGATGGCAGGGAGAGAACAGAAGGGGTCGGGTCAGAGGGGTACAGGAGCCAGCTGCCCTCGCACAGAAGCCACCTGTGCAGAGGAAACCAATGCCCAGACCCTGGCCCTGCCCCAAGTCCTGGTCACAGGCAGGACGTCCTTAAGGGGGTCTGGGTCCCAGGCGACGTCCTGAGGAGAGGAGGCAGTGAATGCAAAGGCTTGTCTCGCACCTCCTCAGGGGAAGCCACGTACCATTCTCTCTGCCAAGCGGTGTTCTTGATGCCGAAACATCTTCTGCCACCAAATAGCAAATACTTGCTTCTCTAATGTCTCCCTATGTAAATAATAATAGAATGAGAAGTTCCAAATGGGTTTTCCTCTTACACTGTGCTTTTAAGAGACAAATAAGCTTATCTAGGGAGAAAGAAAAGGGGAAGAACAGGAAAAATAGCCAAAAACCCCACAACCACCAATTCTTTCCAAGTATTTCTGGTGCCAGCCAGGCACTCACAGAGTGTGAGCAAGACTCTGAGACTGTTCTTCTGCAGTCCATGCTGAGTTACCGCCAGTGCTCACGGTTCCTAGCGAAAGCTGCTCCAGGCCAGGCTGACCCGCAGGACACACATCCTTGGGCAAAGCTGTGAAAAACAGATGCCTGGCCCTAGCTGGTTTGGCTCAGCGGATAGAGCATCAACCTGCAGACTGAAGGGTACTGGGCTCAATTCCGGTCAAGGGCACGTGCCCAGGTTGCAGGCTTGATCACCAGGAGGGGACGTGCAAGAGGCAGCCAGTCAATGATCCTGTCATCATTGATATTTCTATCTCTCCCTCTCCCTTCCTCTCTGAAATCAGCAAATATATCAAACAAAACAAACAAACAAAACCAGATGCCTGGCCCCTAAGGCTGCTGAGCAGGCCTGAGGCTGCCCCGGAAGCAGCCGGCAGACAGGGAGGTAAGTGGGAACCACTGCTGTCACCTCTAGATGGGTCCTAGACTTATCACTGACCACTGAGTGAAGCATGTAAACATCTGATCACCATGTTGTACACCTGAAACAAATGTAATACTGTGTGTGAACTGTAATTGAAAAGTGTGTTTTTGTTAATCCTCACGTGAGGACATTTTTCCTGTTAATTTTTAGAGAGAGTGGACGAGGGGAGAGAGAAAAAGAAATATCAATGTGAGAGAGACACATCAACTGGCTGCCTCGCCCCACCTGCCGAGGATCGAATCCTCCTAGTCAAGATCATGGCCACTTCTCCCAATGCGTGTCCCTCCCTCCCACCTCTGTCCTAAGCTGACCTACACCATTACTCAGGGCAATCTCCAAAGCTGTCATTGCACTGGCTGCACGCACCTGCCCGTGACTGATCCACAGGATCAGGCCATCACCTCGGTCCTGTCCTCCTCATTTGTCTACTCGGCCACCCATCCCCAGCCCCCGGCTCGCAGCCACGCCTGCCCCAGGTCCTTCCCTCAGCACTAGCGCTGAGCCCTCGAGCTTGTGGCTGACACAGCTGAGGACACGAGATCTGTTCTCTGGAACTGTTTGTTCTTCAGTAGTTTCTTGCGTAACAGTCTTATCTCCCGCAAAGTCTTTAGAAAGAGCTCCCTCCCTGGACTTTGGAGTCCGGGAGCTGAGTTTAAACCCGGGCTCTGCTAACGACGGCCTGCGTTACCAGGTGGGTCATTTGCCATGTGAACTGGTTCTCTCAGGACTGCTGGGAGATGGACGTTATTAACGTGATGACGATGGCACAGGCACACGAGTCTCTCGATTGGTGGCTTCCTTTCTCCCATCACACCCTGCCCACCACAGTGGCAGACACACAGCTAGCGGTGAATCATTCCAATACATTCCACCCACATGCAGGAAGGACCTGCTGTTGGGCGAGTTTGCCCCTGTGGCCACTAAAAAGAGGTAGCTCTGCTCCTCGCCTGTCCTCATTTCAAGACTCCACAAAGTCAGGTCTAGCGGAGCAGGGACCACACGCTGCAGGGAAATCACACTCCAGGGGGCCTGCCAAAGCAATGCAAGGTCCCCCACACTCGGATTCAGAACGCTAATGGGCAGTTTTACTGGAACGCACTGTGGCTTGTAATGAGGGGAGGGACATAAAACCCAGCCTGCTCTGAAAGCATCTGCAGTGAAGCTGGATAAACGTTTCCCTGGGGAGGAGGCTGGCCGTCTTCCTGCGAGATGAGATCAGTGCGAGCACATTGATGTCAGAGAAAAATCAATTCGAGAAAATCCAGGAAGAGCCTGGGCCCGGGGGCTGCGAGGCTGAAAGGCACCGCAATGGCCGTGTGGTGGCTGAGGCAGACCCTGATGCCGCCTTGCGTGTACCTGTGGAAGCGACACTGCCCAGCCGCGTACCTGTGGAAGCGACACTGCCCAGCCGCGTACCTGTGGAAGCGTGCTGCTCTGGCCTCCAGGACACTCTCCTGCAGGCGCCATCGCCACAGTCTCCTCCACGCCTGGAAGGCTGCGGGCAGGGTTCTCTGCTGGAAGTGCCTGTCTGCTCTGGCCTGTAGCAGCTGAAGTAAAACGAGTGACCTTTATTTGTATTTTACATTAAAAAAGAAAATGACCTTTCTCTTTTTATTGATTTCACAGAGAAATGGGCAGGGAGAGAGAGAGAGAGAGAGAGAAGCATCAATGATGAGAGAGAATCATGGACCGGCTGCCTCCTGCAGGCCCCACACTGGGGATCAAGCCTCCAACCCGGGCCTGTGCCCTGACCGGGAGTCAAACCATGCCCTCCTGGTTCATAGGTCAATGCTCCACCACTGAGCCACAGCAGCTGGGCTACAAAAATCTTTTCAAAGCAAAGGAAACGTAACTAGAGTGTAAGCCAGCAAAGCGACCTGCGGTGAAGTGCTCCCTACCTCCTTGTCTCGCCTCTTCTGCATACGCTGTAACCACCACCTGACACACCTGCGTAGCAATGTTCTTCTGAAATAAAACACAGAACACCAAGGTGCTGCCCAGCCCATTCCAGGTTCCTGCATTTCTGTTTTGTTCTGAGGCAGGTATATTCAGTGTAGTTATATCATGAGTGTTAAAGGCACCCCATACGTTTCATTCTAGGAGACCCCCAGTGGGGGGTCGTGCAGGAGGCAGCTGATCAGTGATTCTCTCTCACTAATGTTTCTGTCTCTCCATCTCCCTTCCTCTCTGAAACCAATTAAAAATAATAAAATGAAAAGACACCTGTCTTTCTCTCACCACTCCCCTTTAAAAAAAAAGGGAAAAATGCTCCAAAATCAGACCTATAACTGCACATTAGGTGGATCAAAGTGTCTTTATAAGGGGGATATACTAAACAAGCCTGGCAGCAAAAATTGATAGTGGTTACCTCTGCAGCGCAAGACCAAGGGGTTGGAGGAGGGTCCCAGGTACCTTTCATTTAACCCTCTACCTTCCTTCCTGGACACCGAGTTTCTCCTCATGCACATGTGTACACTCACATATTTATTTTAACGGAATGATTAACTCTAAAAAAACTGAAGACACTCTCTGCACCCCTCAAGACGGCACCACAAATATGCCCCTGGCCTGAGCCGCCTTCTCTTTTTTTTATTTTATTAATTTTTTACAGAGAGAATGGGAGAGGAATAGAGAGCCAGAAACATCGATGAGAGAGAAACATCGAATAGCTGCCTCCCGCATACCCCCCACCGGGGATGTGCCCGCAACCAAGGTACATGACCTTGACCGGAATCGAACCCGGGACCCTTCAGTCCGCAGGCCAATGCTCTAACCACTGACCACACCGGCCAGGGCCCGAGCCTTCTCTTTAACAGCACTAACGCATGACTTCTACAACGTGAACACCATTAGAGCTCCAAGGATTGAGGCGGCGAGCCAGCAGGCACATGCTTCAAACCATGGTGGCCAAGAGCCGGTACAAACATCCTCATTCTACCTCTCCTCTGAGCAGCCAAGAGAACACAAGCTCAGGACCAATGGTTACTGCAGGGACTGCCTGAACCTGCTCAGGGGCACACGGAGGGGTAAGCACTCACTCCTGGGGAACAGCGAGTCTGTCCAGGCAGTCCCAGGAGATCCCCAGGCGAGGGCCAGAGTCCCTACCTGTGGTGGTCCCAGGCAGCCTGCAGTAAGGGGCGCTGCTCTCGCTCCTCCCTCTGCTCGATCCGAGACTGCCAGAGGTTCCAAAACCGGCGCAGCAGCTGAAACAAAACAGAAAAGAAGCAAAAATTTATTACTGCAAACTAATCTCTCTTAGCCTATTAGCTAGCAAACCCCCACACCAAGACTGTAAGGTCCCCAAAGCAGAAATGACCTCAATTGGGAGCACGCAACATACAACAGGCTTGTGGGACGACTAGGGTGAGGCTACATGCAGCTATTCTGGGCCAACCAAAAAGCAAAAGGAAGTGTCTTCCAATCTATGGAAATCAGGAGCTACTTCTCATCAGGGCCTAGCAGCCGAAAATGCCATTGTAGAAATTAGAAGTGATCTTAGCACATTTTACTGCCTATGAAGTAGTCTTGCCAAAAAAAATGTTTAGCTGCAACTTCATCAAGCCCTTAGATCTAACTTCTAGTTTATGGGAGTTGCATAGAAAGAAAAAAGGAAAATCAAATGTCATCAAAAGGAAACAGATAAATCAAGAACATTGGAAAACTGTACAAAATAACTGGTGTTCCTTTTCAAAAAGTCAATGTCATTTTTTTTAATATATTTTATTGATTTTTTACAGAGAGGAAGGGAGAGAGATAGAGAGTTAGAAACATCGATGAGAGAGAAACATCGATCAGCTGCCTCCTGCACATCTCCTACTGGGGATGTGCCCGTAACCCATTTGCATGCCCTTGGCCGGAATCGAACCCGGGACCTTTCAGTCCGCAGGCCGACGCTCCATCCACTGAGCCAAACCAGTTTCGGCTCAATGTCATTTTTTTTTAAAAAAAAGGTGTACATGATGCTGAGTGAAATAAGTCAGTCACAAAAGGCTAGTACTGCAAATAGGAAGGACCCAGGGCAGTCAAATTCCTAGAGACAGGAGAATGGCGGTTGCCAGGGGCTAGGGAGAAGGAGAATGGGAGCTGTTAATGGGGACAGCGTTTCAGTGTTGCAAGATGAGAAGAGTTCTGAGATGGTGGTGATGGTTGCACAACAATGTGAATGTGCTTAATGTCACTGGACTGTAAACTTAAAAATGGTTAATATGATACATTTCATGTATCAAACTACTCTTTATGTTTTTTCTATGCATTTGAACATTTTCACAATTAAAAACAAAGCAAGAGCCCTGGCCAGTGTGGCTTTGTTGGTTGAAGCATCATCCTGTGAACCGAAGGGCCACAGGTTCGATTCCAGGTCAGGGCGCGTACGCAGGTTGCAGGTTTGATCCATAGTTGGGGCGACTACAGGAGGCAACCAATCGATGTTTTTCTCTCTCTCCCTTTCCCTTTCTCTCTAAAAACTCAATTAAAAAAAAAAAGACAAAACAAGAAAACCCCATCCTTCTGCACCCACAAACACAATCTCTAAGTAGAGACAGAACGTTTGTCGTCCTGAGGTAACTCACCCCTGATGAGAACAGTTGTACAGACATACAGTGCAAACCAACCAGAGCTGCCTGGAGTGGGGGCTTAACCCATATTCACTGGGTCAGGGTTGGAAGCCACAGTCCCTGACCTGTGATTCAAACACCAACTTTCTTAGCCAACAGATAAGTGGGATTAAACCAGGGTTTCTCTATGGCTGGGATGGCATATTGAGGAGACGAGCACTGAGGTTTCAGCATCTATGGGTCTGGGGACAAATCTGTAAGCACAAAGGTTAACACGAGAAGGGCCACCAGGAGGGCCCCTGCGGCAGAAGGCCCTCACCCCGACGTCGTGCTGCTGGTGAGCGAGATTCCTTCTCATGCGCTGGAGGCGGGCGCGGGTCACGTTGCCTCTGAGGGCTCTGAAGCAGAAGTGCTGTGGAAGGCAGAAGGACACACGGGTCACCCATCTAAGTGGCTGCCACAGTAACAGCAGCGCCCGAGTCCGGTGGCCAGGAGCTCAGTCACAGCTGCTCCCAGGTCCCTGAGAGCGTTTCTCTGCTGCGTGTCAACTGGGAGTCTGATGCACACACAGTAGGTGAGGCCGCACAGTAGGCACTTAACAAACAGCTGTGCACAGTGATGCACAGGAACAAACACGCCCTCCCGCTGACCAGCAGAGACCCCATGGCCCAGATGGGAACACCACAGACAAAGGTGGAAAACATCAACTTTGCCTCTCAGGATGGAGACAGACTTTTAGCCTATGATGTTTTGTTTTAAACTACGTGGGGTCACGTCTATACCTGCAATTATAAATGCAGTTTTGCAAGAATGGAAGAGAAGGAATCCTTGGTGAGTCAGGGGTTGGGGAAGGGGCAGGACAGTGGGCCTGGCTCTAGTCCCATCGATGTCTTTCCAGTGGCCTAAGCCAAGCCCATTCCCCCACGGCCTGGGCTTCAGTTTCCCGAGACAGAAGTAAAGGGATCAGGGGTTCTCACACTGTGCTCTGCGGAGCCCCCGGGACACTGAAAGTGTTGGGCGAGGGTCGGGGAGAGAACAGGTTCTATGCCCAGACCTTCTCCCATCCTCCGCATCTCTTCTTTGATCAATTTCACAGATTAGCCTTCCACTGTTAAACAGGCCCGCCGTGTACCAGTAAAAATCCCCAGGACTACAACATCCCTAAGATTCCTTTACAGTTCCAAACGGGGGGAGGCGGGGGGGACGCATTACCATCTCTGATGCAGAGTGAAAACAGGGACACCCACATAGGGGAGGGCTCCACGGTGACGCCCACATAGGGGAGGGCTCCACGGTGACGCCCACACAGGGGAGGGCTCACATGCCCAGAGGCACTGAAAGAGCATGTGGGTCCAGGGCTGCTGAGTGGAGGCTGGAGCAGGGCTACCCGCTTACCAGCAAGCGGCGCCGACAGTGCTCCTCTGCCCGCTTCCACCGGGCAGTGTCCTCTGCACACAGCAGCACGTCTGCCAGGAGTTAAGGCCTCTCATCTCCTCAGGGTTCCCACCCCCACATGGTACAATCCTGCTGACCCACCGAAGGGTTCTGGCTGTAGGGATTGAGGGACTCTTGTATGAATAGCCCCAATTTAAACGAAAATTTCTAAAAGAAGTCAATGGAGAGCAGGACTATGAAAGTGTTCAGAACTGCTGCCCGTGTGCCCCTGACCCTTGTCGTACAGGCGGCTGAGCTGAAAAGGATACAGTGCTTCCAGTGAGTGAAGGCCCGCCGCAGCGCCACCCTGCCGGCCAGCGCCTGCACCCGGGCGTGGTGAGCGTGCCAGCTCTGCCTCCGCTGCCAGGCCCACTGCCAATCACAGAAGTGCGTCTGAAGCACTGTGACGCGGTGGAATCGCTCAGCCATCTCTGCAACACAGAACGTGACTTCGTGACTTCGCTGCTGCCCCTCCCGCCTGGGCAGTGAGCAGGCAGCGTCCCTCACACCAGCTGACCCCACCACAAGCAGCCAGCAGGGCTCCAAGCAGTTCTCACGAGGAACCCTGGACTACACGGTTTCTGAACATGGAGGGACCTCAGGAATCCCTTCACCACATCTCTTCTGTCCAAGGAAAGAGAAAAGGTGGGCGTTTCAGGGAAGAGGATGCTATGAAATCAAAGCGCTGAGGCTCCTCGTCACTGCTGACGAGTGAGAACGGTGACTGCTGCTTCCAGACTCCGCTCTACTCTGCCTCTTGGCTAATGTCTCCTGGACAGGACTTCAGGGACCGAGTCCATGACACACCATTCGGTCAACTGCTGGCTGCGGCTTGTGGAGCTCTCCGTCAGGCTGACGCAGGCTGCCAGCTTCACTCCCTTTGAACACTGACTAGCTAAGGGCCTGAGGAGCCGGCGTCCGGGAAGCGAAAGGGAGCGGGTCCTGGACGAAATGTTGTAACTGGAGGAACGTTAGTCTGCAGCTCATCACTCCTAACGCTCTGGGCTTGGGCAACCAGGCAGTGGTCCCATCACTATTCTCAAAGGACACATTCACTCTCCCCAGAGCGCAGGAGCCTAGAGATTTCTGCAGGGAGGTCGAGGTGAACGCTGGAGAGCCCGACCCGGCATCGGACACAGAGCTTGAGTCACTTCTGCGTACGCTGAAGAAATGAAAGCACAGAAGTACCGGTGACCATGACCTATGCATGTATTATTACTTCTGAACTCTCACTGGTAAAGAAACAATTGGCACAGAGCTAACACGACTCACCATCTAAATCACAGGCATCCCTGAAACTGGGGACAAACAGAACAACCCAAATACCCATCGACAGAAGAATGGCTACGGTAGATTAAGATAAGCCACCCTATTAAGTACAGCCACTAAAAAGAATGTAGCATTTATGAAGAATAAAGACACAGGGTCATACAGGTTAGTTGTATGGGGAAAAAGCCACATACAAAATCGCATGTATCATATTAACCATAACAAAAGGGTAAGTTATAGTACCTTTAAAACTCTACTGAAGCCCTAGCTGCTTTGGCTGTGGAGAGAGCGTTGGCCTGCAGACTGAAGGGTCCTAAGTTCAATTCCAGGCAAGGGCACATGCTCGGGTTGTGGGCTCGATCTCCAGTAGGAGTGCAGGAGAGGCAGCCGATCAATGATTCTCTCTCATCATTGATGTTTCTCTTTCTCTTTCTCTCTCTCTCTCTCTTTCTCTCGTCTTCTCTGAAATCAATTAAAAAACATTTTTAAAAACCCTATTGAATAAAATATATGCACAGAAGAAACTAAGTGTGAACTGAGGATTACGTACTTTCCTCCTCAATCTCCCTTTACCAGGACTTGGGGCACACTCTGGTGCTCTCCCTCCTTAATATATTAGCTCCACTGGCGGAAAGAAAGTGAGAATTGTGACCCGACCCTCTGTCTCTCGAGCCCGGGACTTCCCGCTCACCGTTCTGCTGTCTCTTTACCCTCCGGGCCTGCAGGTAGTCAAGCCAGGCCTTCAGACATCTGCACTTCTGCCAGTGCCGATGGTGTTTCACTGCACAGACCAGCTTCTGTCTCTCTCTCTGGACATGCAGGAGCTGTTCCTGCCACCGTGACCAAGCCTGAAAAATAAAGACAAGACAACATCAAAGAAGAGGCAGGAAAGCAGAGGTGAAGTACAGGTGAGGGAAACAGACACAGACACACACGCACACGCACAGGAAAGGTAAAAATCAGACACAAGGAAGTGGCAATCCCTAAGCAGGATCATAAGCTATGGGAATTTGGGGTGAAAGCATCTTTAAGAGGGTCATCCTGCTTCCAGAAAGTAAGTTTTTTTTTCTGGATAAAGAACAAAAATAAAAATGAATCATCAAACCAACGAGCAGACAAGAAGCAGGGACAACTGCAGGGGTGACCTGATGCATTCGGATCTGGGACAGGTGAGAGCCTGCCTTTTCCTCCTCAGTGGGAGGAGCCTGCTATCAAGAGGCCCTTTCTCAGACGTGTTAGTTTCCAGGAACTTTATCGGCCGAAGCTGAGGTCCACAAAAGGACCCCAGAGGACAACCCGTAACGCACACCCTCAGGAGACCTCCAAGCACGCTCAGCGAGACTCATGCCCTAGTTGCAAGATGACTGTCTCAGACAAGACTTCGTACCTTCTTAAACCTGCACCACCTCTTCGCCTTCCTTTCCTCTCAGCTGAATACCATTCTTCCTATTTCACCAAGAAAATAAAAGCAATCAAAAAAAAATTTTCTCAAGCTCCCCCCCACTCTACCCACCCACCCATCTGCCCACAGGCTCTGCCTTCTCTCCTGTGAACTCTGGATAAACTGCCCATGCTCCCATCAAAGGTCACCCCTCTAACTAAGTATACATCCCACCTTCTCTCATCTTCTCAAGATGACCTCTCTGGCCATTCCGACTTCTACATCATTGATTTTCACTCTCTACTAAATTTTCAAAATCAGCATATGAATATGCTACTATTTCTCCCATCCTAAACAATATTGATGTATCCCTAAGGGATGTGAAAACCAAAAGCAGCCCTAGCTGATTTGGCTCAGTGGATAGAGCGTCGGCCTGCGGACTGAAGGGTCCTGGGTTCGAGTCCAGTCAAGGGCACATGCCCGGGTTGCAGGCTTGATCCCCAGTGTGGGGCGTGCAGGAGGCAGCCCATCAATGATTCTCTCTCATCATTGATGTTTCTATCTCTATCTCCCTCTCCCTTCCTCTCTGGAATCAATTTTAAAAAAAGAAAATCAAAAGCAATAGGTAACCCTTCATTGGACCTGGACCTGACACTGAAATAGCAACAATATATGTATATCTGCATATAAACTATGTTAGTTATTATTGTATCAATATTAAATTTCATGGATATTGATATTGTTATGTGTGCCATGCATATGTAATATACATGGAACACATATATGTCTATTAACATCCTTATTTTTAGGAAATAATAAGCTAAAGTAGTATAAACTTTATGTCTGCAACTTTAAAGTGTCTCAGAAAATACATTGATATACTTAGATAAAGCAAATATGGCAAGATATAAACAATGCTTAAACTAGTGAACAGAAGATAGTATACACCTTTTCCGTGACTTGGTATTTGTTAAAAATAAAAAGTGTGTGTGGGGGCCGGGGGGGTAGGGGAGGTAGCTTACTGTCATAAAAACTTTTTTTTTCCAGAGAGGAAGGGAGAGGGAGAGAAAAGCATCAATGATGAGAGAATATCATTGATTGGCTGCCTTCTGCACACCCCCTGCTGGGGACTGAACCCACAACCCAGGCATGTGCCCTTAACTGGAATGAAACCTGGGACCCTTCAGTCTACAGGCCGATGCTCTATCCACTGAGCCAAACCAGCTAGGACATAAAAATACTTCTTAAAAGAAATCAGTAATTCGCAAACCAACCAACTGGCAACCCTCTCTAGACCAGTGGTCGCCAACCTTTCAAACCTCACCGACCACCACTTTGCCAGCGGCTAACACTACGTTTCTTTCCCTTCCTTTCCAAACTCTAGAAAAGGCTGCCTGTTTCCTGATTTCTCTTCTCCCATGAAGGTGTCCTTGAACCCTCTTCCCCATCAGGCGTACTGAAACTGCTGTCATTCGTGATCTCTCCAGTTCCCCAATCCACACGTCAAATCGCAGCCCTCAACTTCCCGGAACTGGCAGAAACATGGGACAGCTGGTCAAACCGTCCTTCCCCGGCTCCCAGGATATCACGGTCTCCCTCTGCTCCTGCTGCTGATCCACAGCTCACAGGCTCAGTCCTGGAACCTCTCCACCACCAGCTGCGTGCCTAGGACTCCCAGATCTAACTACATCCAGGTCTGGGCCTGTCCTCACTACTCCACACACATATCCAACTGCCTTCCTGGCACCTCCGGATGGGATTTGAAAGGCCTCCCAGGCTGAAAACATGTACCTCTTCCTAATCTTTCCCCACAAACCTGCTCCTTCCTCCATCTGCCCAATTTCAATAAATGGCAACGACACTGTTCACTTAGTCCTAAAACATGGGACTCATCTTGGAGTCTCTCTGAAACTTCACATCTTATCTATCCATTGACACATCCTGTGGACAATACCTTCAAAACATACCCAGAATCCAACACCAACTTGCTGTCATCCTTGTCCAAAATCTCCCCTGGAATCTGATAACAGCTCCTTATCTGTTCTCCCTGCTTTTAGCCTTGACATTCAATGGTCTATTTTTAACGCAGCAGCCACAATGATCCTTTTTCGTTTGTTTTGCTTTATGTCTCTTACACCTCTTTATTTTATATGACTATTTCCCTCCTCCTTTTTTTTTCTCTCTCATGCCACCAATTTGTTAGGGATACCAAGTCATTTACCCTATAAAATGCCCCACATTTTAGATGTGGCTGGCTGTCTCCTCCAGGTGCCTGACACTCATTCCTCTGACCCCTGTATTTCCCTGAACTGATGGAGTCAGGTTCCAATTTTTAGACAAGAACCTTTCTCAAGTGGTGCTAGGCATTTCCCATCACACTGCGTCAGGAGGCCCATCGTGGCTGGCTGCCAGTGTTCTGTGCCAGACTGCTCAGTGGCAGCAGCCTGATCCCTCCGTTATATTTCCCCATCGTCTTTTCACCTGGTGGTTGCTGCCCAGATCCACTTTTTCATTAGGAGTTACAAGCAGTGATTTTCTAATTCTAGTGCTTTTATTATAGCTGGAGTTCTATAAAGAAGCCTACTCTCTCATTAACCTCGTTTCTCAGAGGTTTGCATAGGAAAGGCAGGATAAATTGCTTGATTTTTACTTTCATTAATTTTCAAAGAATTGAATTAAAGCTCTCACAACACAAATTGTGACCAATGAGTTCCTTTTTATGTCTCATTATGAATGCATACATTTTTATATACTTGATGTGTTTTTAATCCACTATAGTCGTTATTCTTTTTTGATGCTCAAACTGTTCTAGCTTAAGCCTATGGGAGCCCTGATACAACTCCATTAACCTTTGTGAATTTACACCCTTCCCAGCACGCTACATCGGAGGCCAGCGGTTTTCAACAGGTGTGCCGTGAGAATTTTTAAAGCATGCAACACCTATTTAGTCAGGGGCACTGAACTATTTTTCCTTAGATTGACAAATTAAAAAAAGACCACAGCCAACACACAGCGGTCCAGTGTGAACGCCCCATCTTGAACAATATATAGGTCATGTACAGAGTTGCATTTTATTGGTTACATCACATAAGGTTGCATCTGATGGGCTATACCTTGGTCCCAGAAATCCTTATATACAAGTATATATACAAGTATGGGCACGTGATATTTTGGTAAAAAGTCACTTTATGGAGCATCTGAAATCTTGCTTCCCTGGCATGTGGTCTGTTTGGCTCAAATACACTCAAATCAACTCCCTTTTTTTTTTTTAATTGATTTTTAGAAAGAGAGAGAAACAGCGATCCGTTTGTTCATCTTATTTATGCATTCATTGGTTGCTTCTTGTATGTGCCCTGATCAGAGATCGAACCCACAACCTTAGCATACTGGGATAATGCTTTAAGCAACTGAGCTACCCAGCCAGGGCCTCAAATCAACTCTTTAAAAATTTTTTTAAAAAGTCATTGTGGAGCCGAAACCGGTTTGGCTCAGTGGATAGAGCATCGGCCTGCGGACTGAAAGGTCCCAGGTTCGATTCCGGTCAAGGGCATGTACCTGGGTTGCGCGCACTTCCCCAGTGGGGGATATGCAGGAGGCAGCTGATCGATGTTTCTCTCTCATCAATGTTTCTAACTCTCTATCTCTATCTCTCTCCTTTCCTCTCTGTAAAAAATCAATAAAATATATTTTAAAAATAATAATAATAATAAAGTCATTGTGGAGCAAAAAGAGTAGGTAATTACTATTATTAGTTTTTGTTAAGTCAATCAGAATTATACCTACTTTTTGTTAGATTGGCAAAAAATATATATTTTTGGTATGCTGCAGAATTTTAGTAATTAGTTTACGTGCCAGGAGATGAAAAACATTGAAAATCACTTCCTTAGGCTTATGATGTCTATTTTCAGCTCTAGATCTGAAATCAGCCATTTCTCAACACACACACACACACACACACACCCTCAGTTCCTTTCAGTGGGAAATAGCAGAGACCACAACTTGGGCTCTCAGTATGCCAAATGCTGTGTTACTGCCGCTGCTTCTAAGACTTTTCAATAAGTAGATTTTTTAGGTAAAAAATTTTTGAGTCCATATTGATACTTACAGTTCCAGTTTCAGATTTACAGGGCTCTTGTTTTTTTCTCTTACCCTGTAAATTGTGACTCCTGATGATACTGCCATGGTTCTCTGCTTGTCTTACAATGTAGCTATAATCATTTCAACCTAATCCCAAAGCTGCTACTAACAGTAAGACTGCTGGATAGTTTTAGGTTTCTGAGCAGTCCTGTGTCCTTAGCCTACATCCCACCAGGCAGGAACAGTCCAAATGCTGCATTTTGAAGCCCCTGAAGTAACGATTTTCTCTGTGTAGTCACTGCTACCAACTTGGTACGTGTGCTTCAGTGTCTTAAACCCTAGGGTTGTTTTCCTTTCCAATTTCCCTTTGGGGGTTTATTTTTCCATTGTTTTTCTTGAAAATATAAGCAAACACACTGTCTAGTTTCTGTCCCTTCCTTTCTTCCTCAAAAGGCAGCAGTAATGAACCAGAGGGTCCTATGAAGAGGACCCACTCAAAGCCAATAGCCACACACACACACACACACACACACACACACACACGGAGTAAGAGCCAAAGCCTTTAAAGGGCACAGCCTACAAAGCCCTACAATCTGCCTCCTGTCACCTCATGATCTACCTGACCCTTCCCTCTCCCTCCCTCTCAATTGGGTCCCTGGGCCCCATTCTAAAGTGGGGTGGGCGAGGGGTATAGAGAAAGCCCCCTTCTAGACACACACCAACAAGCAATTCTTGGACACCAGCAGGGTGTCCAGGAATTCAACTCAATTCTGACACTATCTACCCAGAGGTAGCAGCCAACATTGCCGCCAGTGGTCAATACGTCTACAATGGCTGGTAAGTCCTCAGAAAGTATGTGGAGAGAGACAAGCTTCGGTTGGAACGTGGGAGTGGGCAGAAGAGAACACGAGGTGCGAGGGCTCTGGGCCCACTTAGCTGCTTGGAGCTCTTTTTTAAAAAAAATTTTACCACATTTATTTCACATCATGATTTCTTAGTCCTTATTAAGTGGATACAATTTGGGGACATAAATACTACCTCTTCCCTTTCTTGTTGCATACGAATTAGTAGGGGTAGGAAGAACAGATATTACAGAATAGGCCAGGGAAGAGGAAAGATAGTGTCGAAGAGAAGAGAGTGTTTATATGAACCCGTCCATAAGCAGTACCAACCAACCATGTACAAAGTTGACCCCATGAAGTGTTTTCTTCCCATGTGGACTTCTGAAAGCATGAAACAATTTGAGATCATATTCAACATATTAATCATACAGCATCGCAGTGCAAGTTTCCCATCAGACATGATGAGTATATTGGAGCTGACTCTTAAATTTAGCTCAGAGCTTCTTGTTTTTATTGCCTTTTTTAAAGTTTTTGTTTGTTACTGCACTTTTTTAAAAAATCCTAACCTGAGGATATGTTTTCCATTGATTCCAGAGAGAGAGGAAGGGAGGGGGAGAGAAACATGGATGTGAGAGACAAATATAGATTGGTTGCCTCACACATGTGCCCCAACCGGGGATCGAACCCACAACCTTCAGGTGTATGGGACGATGCTCCAACCGAGACACCTGGCCAAGGCTGAACTTCTTTCTCTTTAAGTTACAGTGACATTCAATAATTCATTTATTTCAGGTGTACAACATAGTGGTTAGACATTTACATAACTCACAATGTGAGCTCCCTGATACAGCCAGGACAATTTTTAAAAAGAACAAGAATAAGAAGATCCCTTTCATAGATGGAGACTTAGAGCTGTACAGCAAGGTGAGGAGGAGGAGTGAATGGCTAGCATTCACCGAGCATTTCCACATTCCGAGCACCACCGCCTGGGTGTGGGGCTTCACAACTTGGACAAAGGACTCACCTGCAGCTTGAGGCTCAGGGCCCTGTGCTTCACAGCTGAGGCACAGAGAGCACGTCCCACCCGGACCTGTCCCAGCTGCCGCCTCCACTCGCTCCACCACGCCCTGCCGAAGAGCACATTGAAGATGGAACCAGTCAGAAAAAGTCATGCAGGAAAGAGAAGGGGAGTGAGGGCTGGGCCTCACTCTCAGCTCGTCCCTCTGCCTCTTGGCACCATGTCCAGATGGGAATGTTAGAGTCACTGCTAAAAACGTCAATCGAGGCATTTTAAGCCCTCAATAAATATACACCGAGTAAATAAAATCATGTAAAAATAACCATTGTAGACTCTAGTAGAATTACATACTTCAGAATCTTACAATATTTGCTGAATAAATTTTAAATCATTTCAAAATTATTTTAAATAACTTTCTGTATGTCCATCCTATGTTAAAATATTTTACAAATATTATCTTAAAAGTGTCTCCATGACAACCTTGAAAGATACTTAATGGTGTGCCTATTTCACAGATGAAAAAAGTGAGACTTGGAGAGGTGAAATGACCCAATGATACATGTTGGGAGAGGGATGTGAACCCAATCCAGTCTCGCTGGAAAGCCTCTGCCCTTATCCATCCTACATACAGTGCCCAGGTAGGAGCACGGTTTGGCATCAGAAAAATGCGTTTACAACTTACATGAGCTTGAGTAAGTTACTCAACCTTTCTGAACTTACTGTATATCTTAATCTGTACAAGAAAACTTCTTTTACAGTTTATGTTGAGGATTAAACGAGACACTTTACTTTAAAAAAATTAATATACACACATACTTAATACAGGATTTAGAACATTGCACATAATCAATTAGTGTTACAATTATGCAGAAACCAGTGATCTTATAGTTGAACAACTTGTTAATATTTATTAGGTATCAATTATGTTCAAAACTGTTTTAAGGTGAGTTTTTATGCTGCTTCCCGGTGATAAAATGATCATTACTGAACCGCAGGGCATCTGAGTGCACTCACCACAAAATGCTCCGCTGCCTAAACTCCAGGGCGGTGGTCTGCATCTGAAATTTGGTTCTTCGAAAAACCACGTAGATCAACCAGGACTTCCAGGCCCGTCGCATCTTTTGCTTTGCATCTAGATGCACCAAAGAGATTTTCAGAAAGAGGGAGGGGGAGATGGTTAGTCTGGGTTATGGTAAAAGTCATGGGATTCTGTACTTCTCCTGCCTCTGAATGTCTAAATTCCTCCAGGCTTCAATTGCCCCCTGCTGGAAAAGTCGTGAAGTTCCACAAAATGAATAAAGATGCAAGAGGATGTGAAGAACGGTTATAGAAGTGATGACAGTTACAAAACATTTAAAGAAAAATCAATACACTGCCCTGCTCAGAAACACTTTATTTTAAAAGTCCTTTATTTTTTAGAGATATGTTATGTAACATTTACAGATGAAATGATGTGAATAACACAGGAAGTAGAGAGGTGAGACTGGTGTGAGTTGATAATTGTTGAAGCCGGGTGGGTGTATGTGCATAGAGGTTCCTTATTCCATCTTTCAATTTTGTAGAGGTTTAAAATTTTCCATAATATGAAGTTTAAAGAGTAAGAAATCATGTTATAAATCTTGCTGTCTGAAATAATTTTAAATTAGCTTAAGCAAGACAAAAGAAAAGTCTACTATCTCTATCTGCTTGGGAAACAGAGTAAGACAGACCAGTAATGATCCTGGAGGAAAGAGAAGTTAGTAGATATGAAGGTGCAAAGGTCAACAGGTTTCCCTTTGTGGTAAATTCCATTTTTATTATGAAAGTTATCACTAATAAAGTAAACTTTTTAGCATACAAAGGAAAAAATAAAATTATAGAAAGCATTTTCAAAATATTCTCTAAAATGTGGTCAATAGGACTAGAGCTATACTTTATATTTCATAGTTGTTGAAAAGTCAACTCAAAATATGAAGACAAATTTAACATGTAGCTTCCTCGAGCCCACCGCAGGCCTCAGGAATCCATATACCCTCAGCAACAACGTCAATAGCATGGTGCTATGGTTTAGAGTTGGGTAAGAGGCCAGGTCTGAATACTGGAACTTGTCATTTATTAGGTAAGTAACCTTGCATAATTAGGTAAGTAACCTTATCTATAAAATGATGCCTCCTTAGAGATATGTTTGCAAAGAGTAAATGAGATTATCTATGAAAAGTGTCTCCAATAAATGCAAGCTGTTATGTTCTGAGCATGGAAATCCCGGGAATCTGCATTCATTGTCTCTACCAAAAGTCTGATGACAATTTGAGGACCATTCCTCCCTCAGGCCTACAAGTGCCTGCAGACTTTTCATCTAACAGTGAAAGAGTGGACACTCCCTGAGATCTGTGGACACGGTCTGAAACAATGTCACATGCCAGAAATAACTTGTTTAACAAAAGAAAAATTGATAAATTGGACTTCATCAAAATTAAAAGCTTTTGTTCTGCAAAAGATAGTGTTAAGAGGATGAAAAGACAACCCCCAGGTGGGAGAAAATATTTGCAAAAGGGGGAAACCATGAATGTGTAGGGGCAGGAGGTATAGCTCCCAAAAAATAAAGTCTTAATAAAGGAAAATAAAAGCCAATCTGGGCATTTCCTTTAGACGTGCACTTCGTTTCTCACCGTAGTTCTCGGCTCTCGTGTACTTGTTCCTCATGCCCTGCTGCTGGTGCACGTAGGTCCTCCAGGTCTGGAACATCAGGCTGTACAAGTAATACCTGAGGAGCCAAAAAAGCAAATGGCATTTCTTTATAACAAACAATTCCTCATTGATAGGCTTGGTCTGTACTCAGGAGAAATCACCATGGACATTTCTGATACAAAAAAAAAAGCCATACCTTCATCCTAAGCTAAACTTTCATTGCCTCTGATCACAGTGAAATCTACCGTCCTTGACAGAATGTTGCTCTCCACACCTTACAGTGTCACTGAAGAAAAAAAGCCCAATTTTTCCGAGAATAACTTCACCTTCAGCAACTACAAAGCCATATTTGGAATGATAGGCATATTTTAGTCATCTTTCTTAAAATATTTTCTAAAATATATTTTTACTGATTTCAGAGAGGAAGGGAGAGGGAGAGATAGAAACATCAATGATTAGAGAGAATCATTGATCGGCTGCCTCCTGCATGCTCCCTACTGGGAATTGAGCCCGCGACCAGGGCATGTGCCCTTGATCGGAATCGAACCCTGGACCCTCCAGACTGCAGGCCAACGCTCTATCCACTGAGCCAAACCTTAATATCCACAGTATGTAAAACATTACTTCTCCTCTGCACTAAAACTTGGTCAATGACATTTTCTTTCTTTTCCTTCTCAATATATATACTGAACACATTCAAACTGTCAGTCCCTCCATATTTTCACTACCCCATTTCCTTAGTCTTGATTTTTCATACTATACCAGCTTTTAAGAATTATTCAATACATCTATTTTATCAAAAATATGTAACTCAGAACCCCTACCTCAAAGAACCTAAATAAAGAAGTGACTTTTTTCCCCCAGAGAACTTCAGTCCTTAAGGACTTAGCTCCTTCGTGGGCTTTAGTGGAGGCGGTGGGGCAGCACCCGCAGGTCTGAATTGAGGTGGTGCGGGGGGTGGGGGTTGGTCCTTCTGGGCCTCACGAGGACGATTCCTGACCACCTCTCTGTGAAGGCCCAGCTCACACAGTCGTGTACTTTCACATGCAGCTTGGAAAGCACATAGGCAGGGAAGACACTTGCTTCAGAAATGTCCCTAATGGCAAGGGCCTGCACTATGTTTCAAAGGACAACTCCTTGCCCATGGGCACGCATTGGGTGCAGGTGGCGTGCCTGCACATGGCCACGACCTTTTGGTAAAGGCCATTGTTCCTTCTTTTTAAGGTCATGTAAGCAAGGGCCTGAGGGCGAGAGTAAACACCATTTTAAACACACAATGTGTCAGATTTATTGGGCATATATTTTCTCCTATAATCAGTATAAATTAAAACAACTTACGTTAAAGAACAGAATATTCTCAGAATAAGAAATTATAAATAAGTGAAAGCCAAGCAGAAAACCTTATTCAAATCACTAGCATGACCAGCACATAATGGTTATTTGAACTAGAGGAGCGGCTCTTGTGCATGCGCACTAACGTGCATGTGTGCTTGGGTTTAACGTAGGATTCTGATCTTGCGGATTCTAAAACAACGATTCAGAACGTGTCTCTGTTTGACCATAAACGTGCCAAGGAATTACCTGATAATGTGCATCACTGAACTTGAAGTCACATAAATGAAATCTGACCTGTAGTAACAGTCTGCTCGAACACAGAGCTTCCACTCCCGCTGGGAAACCCACCACTCTCCTTTCCATTCTTCAAAGACCTTCCGGAGCACCCTTTGCTTATAGTAACACCTAGGGCAATGGGAAAAATCAAGGGGACATGAGGATATTAAAGCTGATCTCTAGTTCCAAGTCACAGTTTCATTTTACCATTGCTTTCTCATAGTAAATTATGGCTCATTATTTGATTAACACCAACATAGATTAAAAATAGACATTTAACTTTTTCAGATCAAAACCGTATACTATAGATCTTACCAACTAAAGGCATTAAAGTAAAATAAAAATCTGACTTTTCAAATACCATATTGAATTGAGAATTATTCTCAATTTTTTTCATGCACCAGACTAAAAACTATTCTTGAGCCCTGGACAGTATAACTCAGTTGGTTGGAGCATTGTCCTGTATACCAAAAGGTCACATGTTCAATTCCCAGGCAGGGCACATACCCAAGTTTTGGGTTCGATCTCCACACTGGGGGGGTAGGGGGGGTGAGGAAGGCAATAATCAATGTTTCTCGTTTCTCTCTCTTTCTCCCCTCTCCCCCTTCCTCTCTCTTTAAAATCGATAAACATATCCTCAGGTAAGGACCTGATTTGATGTAAAGGGAACCCAAGTGATGGAATCCTAGCTACAGGAGGAAGTTAAGGCAAAAAGATTTTTTTTCCCCCAGAATGGGAAAAATGACTGAATGTGACCCATTAAAGAGGGAAAAATTGACGATGCAAAAAAAAGAAGGAAAAAAAAAACCCTTGCTACATTGATGGCCTTGAGTAGGCAGAAGGGGAATATCATGTAAAAGTCAAGGATTTTGCCACAAATGAGAGCATGGACAGTTCATGTGCCCACCAGCTGGGAAGGCGGGCGACATGGGACAGATGCTGGCACTGGGTAAATGTAGTGGAGGTCTCTTCTGCTGCTTCTAAACCCGGAAACAAGGACACTAGCTACGAATGAGGGAGAAATACTGATTAACAATAAATGGACATGCCTGTTTTATCTACTTCCCAAGTTAGACAAATTGTGCTCAGATCTTCTCTTCAGAAAAACAGGGGACTACTTCAGATCTAAGACTGCCTTATATATGGACACTTAGTGTATTATTTTTGCCCTACTAATTCAGTGATCATTTTGGTTTAGTTTATTAATGATAAAACAATTCCAGTTTATAAAAATTAAAGCATTCTTTAATGGCTATATTTTATAGTTTCTGATATGTCATTCCGCTCTAATATTCCTAAGTGTGAGAAATAGGTAATTCAATATGAAAAAAGAAAAATCAATATGCCCAAACCTCCCCAAAGTAACAACCTCCTTGACCTAAAAAAAGATTGCATCCTGGCCAGCATGGCTCAGTGTTCGAGCACTGATCTATTAACCAGGAGGTTACAGTTCCACTCCAGGTCAGGGCACATGCCTGGGTTGCAAGGGGCATGCAGGAGGCAGCTGATCAATGATTCTCTCATCATTGATGTTTCTATCTCTCTCTACCTCTCTGAAATAAAATAAAAGATTGCAAGTCGAAAATCACCACTCCATCACAAATTTCTAATCAATGAAAACACAGTATCAGAACTCTAATTCTGGTAAATGCCCAAAGCCGTAACTTATCTCCAGATCAAACAATTAGCTCCGATCTGGGTTACAACCAAAACTCAGGTCTCCTAAACTCCCGTCCAGTATTCTTTCCCCTATACCCGGCCACCACTAAAGAGCAGAAAAAGTAGAGAGAGAAAGCAGTGTGACAAACACTGGTCAATGGCTAACCCAACACCAAGACTCTGCACTTCCTCATGGGCATCTGTTACAGAGGCAGCCTCCTCTGTACCCTCAGGTGGCCAGTGACACACTCTGACCGAGGAGGCAGAGCAGAATGCAGCTGGGGGCTTCCAGGAGCACTGTGCTTTCCCGAGAGAGACAGGTGGAGCTGATAGCACCTTCCCTCCCCTTCCTGGGTACAGCTAGATCGGTCACCTTGCAATTATGCGGTGTCACCTCTGAGGACAAAGGGCCAACACGCTAAGGATGGTGAACTAGAAAGGTACTAGAAGCCTGCATCTTCGATGGCATCACTAAACAGCTGAACCAATACCAACCTCCAGACTGCATCTGAGAAAAAGTAAATCCCAGTTTAAGTCACTGCCAGACTTTCTCGAGTCAAACGCATTCCTAACTAAAACAATCAGCATTTCCCAAACACTTGGAATATAAGTTGATATTATTTGAAAAAAGATTTCCAGTTAAATATGGGTCAAATTTAAGTTAAATAAAATTAAGTAGGAAGAGGATTTGGAGAAGATGGTGACGGTGGCAACATTTTTCAATCTCTGAATCCCCATAAAACACACAGAGCAGCCAGGTACCAAAACCAAAAACTCATGTGTCAATTACAACAAAACTAAGTGACGAGATATCCTCGTGAATCCAAAATGCAAGCAGGAGAGGGCAAGCGACTCATAGTCAAAAGACCTGCACAGTATTAACATTTGTACAGACAAAAAGGGAGCAATGAGGTGGCATGTGAGGAATGTAATAAAAGTTATGTGGCCCAGGTGGTGTGGCTCATGGTTGAGCATCGACCTATGAACTCGGAGGTCACGGTTCGATTCCTGGTCAGGGTACATGCCTGGTTTGGGGGCTTGATTCTGTGTGGGGCATGCAGGAGGTAGCCGATCAGTAACCCTCTCTCCCTCTCCCTTCCTCTCTGAAATCAATAAAAAATACATATTAAAAAAAATAGTTATGTGAATGGGATCTCTCCCTCTCTCTCAGCAAACTAGTACCAATTTCTTCTTCCTTCTTCACAAGTTCATGGATAGAAGACTCATTCTTACCCTACATCTTAGCAACCTCAGCATACTTTCTTGGGTTTTTTTTTCCTTATTAAGTCAATAGCTTCTACCTTTTCACGTAAAGGAAGCACTGTGGCTTCTCTCTGGCATATCCAAATTGCCAGCATCACTTTGGCGCCATTATTAAGTAAAATAAGGGTAAGTTGAACATGAGCACTGTGATACCGAAACAGTTGATCTGATAATTGAGATGGCCACTAAGTGACTAACAGGGCGGGCAATGTGTATCCGACGGATACTCGGGATAAAGGGATGATTCACTTTCTGGGCGGGACAGTACGAGGTTTCATCATGTTACTCAGAATGGCATGCAATTTAAAACTTATAAATTGTTGATCTCTGAAATTTTCCATTTAATATTTTCGGATCTCAGTTGACAGGTAACAAAGTGCAAAAAGCGAAACTTTCACAAATTAGGGGGACTACTTTATATTCTTTTTTTTTAAAGAACTGATTTTATTTATTTTTCTCTTTTTATATTTTTATTAATTTCAGAGAGGAAGGGAGAGGGAGAGATAGAAACATCAATGATGAGAATCATTGATCAGCTGCCTCCTGCACGCCCCATCTCCCCGCCATTGGGGATCAAGTCCACAACCTGGGCATGTATCCTTGACTGGAATCAAACCTGAGACCCTTCAGTCTGCAGGCCGATGCTCTATCCACTGAGCCACACCAGCTATAGCTGTATATTATACTCTTCAGGACAGTCCTTAAAAGAAAAAAGAATATATAACTTCTAAGCCAACATGAATAAAAAAAATAAAACAAGAGATTTCTGATAATGGCAAACTAGATAATTCAGATCAATTCTACTGAGAACAAGAAAAGCAGATCAAAAAAATTATTTGAGGGCACCGAAGAGCTGCCAAGGCAGTCAAGAAGGACAGGACCACGGCGCAGGAGAGCTGAGGTGAGCGACCTCTAACCCCTGCAACTGGGATGGGCTGCTGCCACACTGGGAGCATCGCTGGGCACAAGGAGATGGGAACAGTAAGGCCCCACATGGTATTCCAAGGAAAGGTTTCAGAGAGCACACACAGGACAAAGCTGCTTGAGAGACCTTGAACCAAGAGGCCTTGAGAAATGTTCCAGACTGGGAAAGCCGGGCTCAGAAAAGTACAACGGGAGAGAGGGAGGGAAGTGAGAACCCGTAACATTTGTTTTTTAAAAAAATGCTTACATTCTCAATGGTTGCCAATTTCCCTCTAAAAAATGCCCTACACTGGCCCCTCCTCTCCATTCCCAATATCCCAGGGGCGCCCCCCTGCCGCCCACTCTGGACGTGGCAGCTAAAACTATCAACCAAAACCCAGAGCAGTGAGCGATGGATATACCAAGTGAAGCTATGGCAGAGGGACTTTCTCCCGACTAAAATTTCATTCCTATTGCCAGTGCCAACGTTTTCCATAGAACAAGTCAATGTGTTCATCTTGCCCTTCAAAGGGCTCACTTACTCTGGGCAAATACCTTTTTCCCCAGAGGCTATTAGCTGTCCTGGCTTCCTTTCTGATTCCTTCGTACACTCACTCAGTCCAACTAATATGGATTAAATTATCACTTTATTATATGTCTGCTGGAGGCCGAGGGAGGGCGGGGAAGGAATGTTACATACGCCATAATAAACGTTATGTGTGGGCTTAATATAAAAACAGAAGCCCAGAATGAATGCAGCGGAAGCTCGGTGTTCCGAGCTAATACTACCTGGCTTTAGAGGGAAATACTCTTCCAAAAGTTTTTCGAATCCACAAATACAAGAACTTCCTGGCCACACATCTGAAAGATGAAAAGAAAGGACATGCACATTTTAAAACTCCATTTGGCCTATTTCATCAGTTTTCTGGAAAGGAGAGGGAAACTTTAAGGCCCCAGAGAGAGAGAAATGCTAGTGTGAGTCAAAAGGTGAATCATAGCTAATCTTGCATCAAACAGCATACGATGGGACAGATTTATAAAGCTAAAATCAAGCAGATTTTTTAAAAAATACTTTCAGTTTTAAGTATTTTGTCAATGAAGACTTCAGCCCAGCCAGTGTGACTTAGTGCTTGAGTGTCGACCTTTGAATCAGGAGGTCACGGTTTGATTCCCAGTGGGGCTCGATCCTCAATGTGTTAGATGTGCAGGAGGCAGCTGATCAATGACTCTCTTATCACTGATGTTTCTAGCTCTCCTTCCCTCTCCTTCCTCTTTGAAATATATATATGTGCATGTGTGTGTGGGAGAACAATGAGAAATTCACTGCAGGCAGGTGACCACTCGCATGCTCACCTGATGCGCAATTCTTTTAACCGACCCCTTTGGGTCCGAGCATGGTGCCCTGGATGGCCGGAACGAGGTATCGCACTCCGGATCCCAGGGAAGGCAGAAGACTTCTTGTCGGACAGTATCTTTGGAGAATAAAATTTCTTAACTGCACCATTCCTAAAAGACCTTAAATTTGAGGAGTAAGGGGGAACAGAATCAAATTATCTCTGCATGTGCTGCAAATACCTTTACACGTTTAAGTGAAATTAAATAAACTCTTTGAGACAGACAGATAATAACTATGCTTCCAGGACACCAAGCAGCCCAATCTCTGACAAAAATACCTGCAGGCTCTAGGCATCGACTGCAGAGCTACAGGGCACCTTGGAGTCATGAGTCCTAACATTTTAATGTCATTTTAAGAGTAACCATTTATAAACTAGAAACATTCTTTTATATAGAAAGCAATTAGAAATGATTTTCAGATAATGACTTTCACAACAATATGAAACCACATACTTTTACTAAACACTAAATTTCTGACTTTTAATCCTGCTTTAGAAACATTAAGAGTTTACATTATTGGCATGAACTCATGATTTCTTTAAGTGTTTTTAATAAATATTTATTGATTTCAGTGAGGAAGGGAGGAGGGAGGGAGGGAGGGAGGGAGGTGAGGGGGAGAGAGAGAGAGAGACATCAATGATGAGAATCATGAATCAGCTGCCTTCTGCACACCCCACACTGGGGATCGAGCCCACAACCCAGGCACGTGCCCTTGACCAGAATCGGACCCTGGACCCTTCAGTCCACAGGCTAACGCTCTATCTATGGGGCCAAACCGGCTAAGGCTGAACTCATGATTTTTAAGAAATGTGTGGCAGGTGCTCTTCCCTCCAGGGAGTACATTCCCTTCTCCCTTTTCTCCTCCCTCCCTCCCCTGTCATGTATCCCCTATCCTCTAAGGCAGTGGTCGGCAAACTGCGGCTCGTGAGCCACATGCGGCTCTTTGGCCCCTTGAGTGTGGCCATGAAGTTTCAATCGCACTGTACGTGCACGCCCGCACGTGGTGTTCTGTGGAAGAGCCACACTCAAGGGGCCGCAGTTTGCCGACCACTGCTAAGGGACCCCATGAGGCTTGCAGCCAGGGGAGCAATGGACAGCTGCAGCTCGTCCAGGGCTAACTCCCTGAACCTAGCTCCAAACAATAGGCAGCTGCAGCTCGTCCAGGGATGACTAACCCTTTGAACCTGCCTCTGACTTCCCAGTGAGCTAAGGCAGCCCACCCTAGGCTTTCCTGGTGCTTCTCCTATGCCCGTCCTTGTCTCACTGCGCTATGCTTTTGTTGAGGTCAATAAATTCTTGCTTGCTTTTCTAAAAAAAGGAAGGGAGGGGGGAAGAGAGGAAGAAAGAAAGAAATGTATGGCAGAGCTCTACCTGCAGGAAATACTTGGAAGCAATGATATTCCATTAACAATGAGCACACACAGAGCTTAAACACTGTTTATGAAGTGCCATTCCCTACTAAAAGGAACCAGGGCTCCTTGGAGATATGATTTCAGGTCTGAAACAAGGGAAATGCAAGATGAGCCTGGAATACCTTTTTAGATCAGAAGGTAAAGAAGTGTTCAAACAATGATGGGGGCATGTGAACCATCTGTACGCCACAAGCGTCTATGGACTCAGGCTGTCTCATTCACTGGGGTGGCCCCACAGAAACAAGTGGGTGCTAGTTTGATAAGGAACAGGATGTTAATGTAGTTTCAAAAAGTTATCCACACACACACACGGTTGCCCCTTTCAACTGCTAAGCATCCAATTAGGATGGTCTTAGGCGACCCCTGTGAAAGGGTCGTTCGACCGCCAAAGGGGTCGCAACCCACAGGTTGAGAACCTCTGATCTAGATTGAGGAGCCTGTAGCCCAGTGGTACTCAACCTTGGCTGCACATTAGAATCACCTGGGAATCTTTTTAAAATCCTGATTTCTGGGCCTCATCCTCCGGAAATTCTATTTCTTTGTTATGGGGTGGGGCCACAACATTAGTAACAAAGAAACAGAATTTCTGGAGGATGAGGCCCAGAAATCAGGATTTTAAAAAGATTCCCAGGTGATTCTAGTGTGCAGCCAAGGTTGAGAACCACTGCTCTAACAGCTCTTCCAGATTCACCAACATACTTATTAATTCGGGTCCCTTTCTGCAAGAAAAGTCCAGTCCCCTCTCAATGGCCAGAGCCTTTACAACCATCCAGTTATAAAGCATCCAGGTGGCCCCTACAGAACTCCTTCTGGCGGCCCACCCGCGGGCGGGGGGCAGGCTGCACGGGGCGAGGGCCAGCCCACGGTCTGCTTCAATATCAGTTTGCTACGGCCCAGTCCTCTGCCCAGGACACACAGAGACACCCACTGCCACCTCCCGCACGGCATAGCCTGCAGGAAACCAGCGGGACCTTCACCAGCCCCGCCACCTCGCTGCCGGGGGTCAGGCTGCCTCTCTAGGACGCCCTGTGAAGGTAGAGTCCCGTCCCCGTCCCGCCCGGGAGAGGACGGTCCAGGCTGTCCATTCACTGGGGTGGCCCCAGCACCCAGTGCAGGGCCTGGCTCCAGCAATGAATCAAAATCAAAACGTCCACAATGGCTATGCCACACACTCAAAACAGGGTTTGACTGTAACGTAAGGTATGAAATGTGCATTATACTCTACCCGGTGGGTGAGAAACCCAAAAAGTGAACAACAAAAATCCTTACCCAAACTTCCTATCACATCCCCCGTGCATGAATTGAGAACAAAAACTTTTAAAAATAAAATCATATACTATTTTCACACACAAAATATTTACAGGCTTTCATCTGAGCCATCATTTCAGTTATTTTGTGTGTGTGTGTGTCAAGTCACATCACTCACCTGGAGTCAACCTTCCTCTCCATTCTCCACTTAATCTCTTCTTTTTTTTTAAATGGAAATTCAACCAGGGGCTTGATATACACTCTTCTGAGTGAGCAGATTCTTCATGAGTCAAAGCCTTTTATTTTCTTTTCTAACTACAAGAAAAAAGAAAAGGAGGGGGTGTATTTTTGAGAGAGGACAGGAGAGAGAGACAGAAACAGCCTTTGGCTGCCTCCCCCCGTGCACCTCCCGGCGGGGGACGAAACCCGCGATCCAGGTACGTGCCGGGTCCGGAACCGAACCAGCAACCTCGTGCATGAATTGAGAACAAAAACTTTTAAAAATAAAATCATATACTATTTTCACACACAAAATATTTACAGGCTTTCATCTGAGCCATCATTTCAGTTATTTTGTGTGTGTGTGTGTCAAGTCACATCACTCACCTGGAGTCAACCTTCCTCTCCATTCTCCACTTAATCTCTTCTTTTTTTTTAAATGGAAATTCAACCAGGGGCTTGATATACACTCTTCTGAGTGAGCAGATTCTTCATGAGTCAAAGCCTTTTATTTTCTTTTCTAACTACAAGAAAAAAGAAAAGGAGGGAGTGTATTTTTGAGAGAGGACAGGAGAGAAAGACAAAACAGCCTTTGGCTGCCTCCCCCCGTGCACCCCCCGGCGGGGGACGAAACCGCGACCCAGGTACGTGCCAGGTCCGGAACCGAACCAGCTACCTCCCGGGACACGGACACCCCTCCGCCCTCCCGCTGGCGGGGACACCCATCACGGGCTTCTCAAAACAACGACCCCGGGGGCAGCCATTTCCATGCAGAAACGGTGTCCAGCTACCAGCGGTTCTCAACCTGTGGGTCGCGAACAATGAAAGTCCATCCTCACATCGGATATTTCCGTGACGACTCATAACAGTAGCAACATTACAGTTATGAAGTACTCACGAAAATAAGTTTATGGGTGGGGGTCACCACAGCACGAGGACCTGTATGAAAGGGTCGCGGCATTAGGAAGGTTGAGAACCACTGAAAGCGGCCCCGCGGAGACAGGTGCTCGGTCCCGGGACCGTTCACGCCGCGAAGACGATGCACCTGCGCGGAGGTCAACGCGGGGTCAGTCGGCCTCCCGGCTGCTGAAGCAAAGCCCTCCTCGCCCTGAGGAGGAGGCTCCCTCACAATGTGGCCCCGGGGGGATCAGGGGGCCCCTGTGGTGTGCTTACACTCGCCCCTCGCCGGCTACACAGCAGGGGGACACGGACGGACACGCACCCCCAATGGGAGCCTTGCACGGACGCGGGGCCAAGCACATGCCTGCAACGCACGGGACGCGC